TGCCGAGGTCAGGCCCGGATGACCAGGGGGCACTCGGAGCAGTCGGGTAGGGTAGATCTCGGTATGGTGCGTGGTGTGTCTTCTTTCATCATCTGGGGTCTGGGGGGGCGTTGGTGGAAGCCAACCAGAGGACCGTCGGGGTTCGGAAGAGGTGTGAGGAAGAAAGAGCAGCTGAAAAGGTTTGGAAATGGAGATGAAGGAACCACCACAAAGGTGTCTTTCTGTGATGGTTTTTGGTGTGGAGTCAAACCAGTTGTGAACGGCTTTTGAAGCGTTGAACTTGGATCTTTGTTGCGTTTTTCTGGGGCAATAATTCACCTTCCACACCAGCCAGCTGCGGGCTCGCAGCTCTTTGTGCTGCGGCGGCGATCCAAAGGATCCAAAGAAGAATCCGAGATCCTCAAGAATGGACTTGTCTGACTTGTCCTCTTAGATCTCTGATCAGACCTTACAATGACATCAATGCAGTCCATGCGGTTTTTCTCCGGTTTTTTAGCACCTCGAAAAGTGTCGATCTCGTTCGATCCCAAGAGCAAAGGCAGCCGCTCAGTGCAATGACAAGAAGGTCTAGTGCGCCGAAGCAGCCCTGGCCAACATGTTTGGGAACCAGAAGCTACGAACGGGGCTCCTGGCCGTACTAATTACTAGGAACAAGGACGCTACGTTCGAGGCTTTGATGGAGCCAGTTGACCTCACAGGACCCACCGGCTCTCGCCCGCGTCGCCCACGTGCAAGGCCAGCCTAGAAAATCGGGTCTCCAAGAGTCCCTTGTGCCGACCTTGGTTCGACGGTGGAAGAGCGAATGGGCGAATGGGAAGCTGTAATATGAGTTTGTTTTTTTTTCACCATTGGTGTTCCGGGAATCTCGGAGATGTCAAGACTTGGAAGTGGAGATGTTGATTTTTGGCCGCCAAGACTTGGAGGAGGAAAAAGGATCCAAAAACAGACCTAATTGAGGTAGATGTCAAGTCTATGAAACCCAGTATAATATAGTGCAATTGTATGTGTGTTTGGCTTGACTCAGAGGTTGCGAGTTTGGTGGATGGCTTGACCAGATGTCCAGCAAATTTCTTTGTGGCGGTGGAAAGCAACAAACCATCTCATACCATTCAACAATATGGCATAATCCAGCAGTCACAAAGCGGTGCTTAATGGAGGTTAGGGGTGCCCATTATCCACTCACTTAAGGACTAAACACCACCCCTTTGTGACTCCTGGATGTAGGCTCTTGATTTATGACCGCCCCGGTATCAAGAGTCTACGACAATATCACATGATCTCCTTTGATAGTATGACAAATGATAAATGGTTTCCTGCTACATGATCTGCAAGGCTTTCAGGCTTCAGGCCAGCTGTTGTCTAGTTGTGTTCTTCAACCATTACCCATGCTGAAATGCTGCACTGGCAGGGACAATTACTATCATGACAGGTGTTTGCTATTTACTTTTGCAGGAGTTCTACATGTCGTTGCCATGTTCGGGAGACTTGGACAGCTGGAGGTTTAGGGCGGGCGACAGCGTTGTAATGTTTTCCATGGCACCCATGTCCTTCAGTGAAGGGGACCGGGACCGGTGTATCCCAGTTTTGGCCGGCAGATTTCGCTTCTCAGGTCTGCACAAGCCTTCTCAGCCGATTACTGAGCGACGCATCATGTGCTCGAAATCAACGAAGGTTGATGCGAATGGCGGCTGACAGGGCAGCACATGTTTTAGCCAACAGCGATAGGTTCCAGACTGTGCTGTTGATATGTCATGTATATCAACCTGACTGGGCGATAGGTTTGGTTTGGTCATGTCCACCTATAACCATTACGCAGCACCAAAATACAGTGAACAGTTCGCCCAAATACGATTATTAAACTACAATGTTTTTTTATAATTGGCCGGATGATGAATTGAAAGGATTAATCGACGTGCATATATATTATATAATTTGTTTAAACATTCTTATATATATATATACGTGTGTGTGTGTCTTCTTTTCCTGAATACCATGAAAGTCGTGTGAACAGAGTTTGACCTTTGTTTCACCTTAACGTTTGGTTCCTGCATGTGGAGTCCATTGGATTCCTGTCAAGCATTGCTTAAATAGAAAGAACTAAAAAGACACGGTTAACTGGAGGAGGACCAGCATATGGTCCTTTTTTAACAGCAGCTGTTCATGGTCCAGAAGCACGGCCAAGACGAGCCAATCTCCAAACCCACGGAGATCAGAGCCACAGTTGGTGGACATTGACCTTTTGGCTCATGGAAACCACCTCGATGTAGTGATATATGCCCGGTACAATGCCCACCATATCCCACCATTATAAAAAAGAAGCAGCTATCAACAGCTCTGTCATGGTGGTGGTAGTGCTGGTGGTGGTGGCAACCCTGATTGGGTTCAGCATCAGTGCGTGCCGTGTTTTCGAGGAGGCATCACCTTCCGTTCAATTCTCGTAGAGCTACTCGTTGGACGGTGGGGGTTGGACGCTATTTCCGAGATTGACACTGGAACTCAGCGTCATCAAGTGGCATGACCAATAATGACTATTATATAGTCTTCAAATCTGTCCTCAGATTTGCTGAAGGTTTCCTGAGGGCAGGGGTTCCGAAAGGGTGCGCAACGAGGGCACTACTATTGTCCTCCCTCCAGACCTGACTGGGATTCGATGTGTTCTGCAGAGATTGGAAGCTAACTATAGAACTGTCTCGAATCTGTACAGAAGCTATCTATTTATTTGTAGAACTATATAAACTTAATTGTGCTTCTAGCTTTTACACATGACGTATACAGCTTGTGATGCTCCGGTGTTCATCCTGTCGAGCCAATACTATATGATTAAGAATATTCTTTGAAAAGTTTCCCTGCCCAAAGAAGCTTCACCATCCAGTTTGTAGGCAGGACGAAGGGTGGCATCAACTGTTGACCTGGGAAATATTCTGGGCTAAGCCAAAGGGAGCAGCTGGAGAACGATACTCTCAAGAATGACTCTTGACATGATGTGCATCCCAATATTCACTTTAAGATCGCTGAAGAGGATCCACATATGTTCTTGCAACGGAGACAGTGATTCCAATCACCTCCGTGAACATCCTTGCTGTAGCTAAGCCCTATCATGTTCTATTGAACAAAAGAAGATCTTCGCTAGTACGATCCTTTTGCTACTAGGTTCGAGGCCTGCTTTTAGGTTGCAGGCCATGGCTTTTAGGTTGGAGGCCATCGCGTTTAGATTGGAGGCCATCGCTTTTAGGTTGGAGGCCATCCCTTTCAGGTTGGAGGCCATCGTGAGTAGTTTGTTTTTGCTATTAGAGATGCGATTCTTTATGATTCTTTTCTTCTCCGAAAAGAACCTTCCCACCGTGCAGCTCCTCGTCGCAGCGGAAGGCAGCTCCGGCGAGCGGAAGCGTCACCTTTGTTTCGGTCGACCAACTCGACTGACGAGGAAGGCAGTTCGCCGGGTGGAAGGCGGTCCATCTTTGGGTGAAGGAATGGTGAACGCCTTACTGCTCACCGTTTCCTCAACAAAGTACCGGTACGAGTTGAAATCGAGTTTAAACAGATTCGGAAGGACGTGAATTTCTGGACTGTCACCTTTGGGATGCTCATCTACTTCCAGTTGCTATAGTTACTATACTAAAACTACAAGACGTCATAATATAATGTCTTATTCACTTACAATTCAGCTACAACCATATATTAAAAGTATTTAAACGTAATCACTAATCACACATAATAACATTATGTAGTCAGTACGTGTTTGACAAACAAAAAACACATCAGGAAAATTTGTTTCAGTTCTTCATCCAGACCTGGCTGCCTCAGCCCTGGCCTCGCTTCGCTGGTGCGGTCACCGGCCATGAATTTCGCGAGTCGAGGCCAATGTGCTCGACCGGGGTGGGCAGATGGAGTGAGCTAGTGATTCTTAGCAGAAAGACCATATATACAAATAGGCAGATTAACTATTTACATATAAATCTTGCCAGATTCTTTTCACCATGAGCTCCCTGGGAGTATGAGATTCTGACTGAGAGGGATTTGTTCTTCCTGCCCAGTGGGATTTTTTTGGCCACTTAAATCCATGAGGTGGAAGGATATAATATGCTGATCTTTCCTTTCCAGGGATCTTTGGCTGAAAAGAATGCCTTTGGTGCAGACTTTGTACACCTTTCGTAACCTGAACATACCTGAGCCATCTGGGCACAAAACAGGAGCGCACATGCTGTAAGCCATGTTTGCATGGTAGCGTCCCGCGGTTCGGTCGAGGCCCGAGGACGAGCGGCCTTGCAGGGACGTGTGCAGCTCCTTGGTGACCGGGAGCTCACACGAGTGGGTTGGAAGTTGACGGCATTGCTTGCCGTGTGTTGGATCCTGATTTGGTCAGGGATCCCGCTCGCTGCAGTGGGCTGGTGGCTGGATGACGACGATGGAGGATCTTGCAGCAGCCCTTCAACAATTGCAGCAGCAGGTGTTGACGACCCAAGCAGACAACCAGGTCCTTAGGGAACGACTGGCCACGTTCGAGGCACAAGCAGCCCTCTCCCCATCTCATGGAGCTGGGATGTCACCTGAAGCCAGAGAGGTGGTGGCGGCACTTCGGGGCTTGCCAGAAGGTGTAGGGAAGCTCGCGAAGCCGAAGGGTCTCATTGACCCTCGAGGGCTTGGAAAGCCTCAGATCCTCGGCGAGAACGCCGGTGAGAAGTTCAGGTTGTGGGCGATCAAGCTCGAGGACTATGTGAGCGGCGTCTTCGGTGGCAAGAGCCGAGAAGTGTTGGAATGGGCAGCATCCATGGACACCGAGATCACGCCGGCAGAGATCGAAGCAGGCTATGGAAGCAGCGCAGACATCTTGGACCAGTGGGATGAGGTGCACGAGTTCAATGAGCAGCTCTACACGGTGTTGAGAGCTACGACGGAAGGCAATCCGTTTGACCTCGTCGAGAACTGTGCAACCGGCGCTGGACGCTTGGAGGAGCCTGCACCGCCGGTTTGACCCGGCCACTGGATCTCGGAAGCGAGTGATGCTTCAGGCCTTGACAAACCCTGAGCGTGCTAGCTATGACACCCTTCAGGGGGCCTTGGAGAGGTGGAAGGCCTTGCGGTCAAGGTACGACCGGAAGAAGGATCAGTTCGGCTCACGAGAGGCCCTGCCGGAGTCTCTCGCGATGAGCGCCTTAGAGAAACTGGTCCCGAAGGAGCTTGAGACCCACCTCATGTTGAACTACGCCCGCTTCAAAACCTTTGAGGAGATGGAGAGAGAGGTGATCAACTTCATGGAGGCGAAGACAGGCTCTCGCATGGTGGTCAGCTCAAACTTCGCAAAGCCGTCAGGGGGCAACTCTGGCCCAGTGCCCATGGACGTGGACAGCCTCGACAAGGTCGTGTCGGGCAACCTCGCTTCGATAGTGAAGAAGGGAGGAAAAGGTGATGGCAAAGGGAATGCCAACAAGATCAAGTTTGATGGGACCTGCGACAACTGTGGCAAGTATGGCCACCGTAAGCATGATTGCTGGAGTAAGCCCACAGGAGCAGGCAAAGGATCTACATCCAGGAGTCCGACATCGAGCCCAAAGAAGGAGGTGAAGTTCACTGGAACCTGCAATCATTGCGGGAAGCCAGGGCACAAGAAGGCAGAGTGCTGGGCGGCTCAGGGAAAGGGGAAAGGTGGCAAAGGAGGTGGAAGTGGTAAGGGCAACAACAACAAGAACTCCGCGAATTCCCTTGACCTTCCTGAACCTGAGCCACGACCTGGTGATGCAAATGGGTTGGAACTTTGTGCATTGAACATCTGCACATTGGAGGAGGAAAGGAGCTCAATACGCAGTGGAAGCAGAAGAACATCGACCTTGAGGAGTCAGAGCCATCGAACATCAACCAGGACAAGATCGACCAGAAGAGGAGAGGAGAGTTCGGCGGCAGACAGGTCGGCATCCTCAGTTGAGTCATCCGACTCAGTGGAAAAGCCCTGGTTGAAGTGCAATCTTGACACAGGTGCCTCGGTGACCGTCTTCCCCAGAGGCATGTTTGAGGCTGGAGAGCCCAATGAGATGAGGTTGAAGACACCTTCAGGAGAAGTGGTGAAAGCATATGGGAAGGCCACGGTCCATGGCAAGGATGATGACGAAGCTCAATGGGGAGGTCGCCGACGTCCACAAGATCCTGGTGAGTGCAGCAAAGTTGCACGAGAAGGGACACACATCATGGATTGTGCCTGGTGGTGGAGAGATCATTCCCTTGAACCATCCGGTGAGCAAGGCCATGATTGCTGCCTATCACAAGGCGGTGGACGAGTTCGGCAAGATGGGCATCATTCCCGTCCCTCAATGAGGAGGAGGGTGCAAGGCCACACTTGGTGGCACAGGACCGGAAGACCGGGATGATGATGGCCACTGCCCTCAACCAGAAGGGCGCGGTGGACACGACAGGACAGAAGTTGCTCACGAGGTTCCTGGAGCTGTTGGGCTACAAGGACATCGTGCTGAAGAGTGACGGCGAGCACTCGTTGGTGAGGATGAAGAAGGCGGCCGGAAGGGACGCCAAGAATTTGGTCAAGACCATTTGTGAGGAGAGCCCTGCTGGAGATTCGAGAGCGAATGGAGAGGCAGAGGCTGCAGTGAGAGAAGTGAAGTGGAGGATCAAAGCCGTCCACTTGATGTTGGAGAAGAAGATTGAGGGTGGCTTGCCAGGCCAGAAGGACACCCGCTTGCGCTGTGGATCCCACGCTATGTGGCTGAGCAGTCAAATCGCTACAAGGTGGGAGCAGATGTGAGGACGCCTGAGGAGAGAAGGACAGGCAAGAAATGGATTAAGCCTATGCCGGTCTTCGGTGAGAAGATCTTCATCAAGCCGGCAGGGAAAGGCAAGAAGTCAGATGCCTCAAAGATGAAGGAGGCCCGGTTCCTTGGGTGCCACAATCGCTTTGGCAGCGTGTTGGGCATGACCAAGGAAGGCGTCTTGGTGGGCACCGGATTTCACACGGTGGCTGAAGGGGAGAAGTGGGGACCATTGGAGTTGGACTTGAAGGGGGCCCCATGGGATGTCCGCGCCTATGTTCGAAGGTTGCCTGATGAACCCATTCCAGCACCTTCGACGCCAGCCGTGGTGGTGGTTCCTTCGACCCCTATGGCAGCTCAGGGACTTCCTGGAGATGCAGGCCTGACCTCAAGCGCACCGAGGGCAGAGGAGGAGGCTCCGGCGGCGACGACAGAGGCTGAGGTTGGAGGACCGAGCACGAGTCCACAGACGCCGACGGCCACGAGAGCATGGCCGGTGAGGAGGGAGCACCTTGTGAAGTTTGGGCGCACTGCAGAGTGCCCGGGGTGCCTGTCGATCCTGAAAGGAGCAGGATTCCAACAAGTGGCTCACAACGAGGCTTGCAGATCGAGGATCAAGAAGCGCTTGGTTGAGGAGCAGCAGGCAAAGGCCGAGGAGACCAAGAGGTTGAGAGAGGAGCACACGATGGGTCGGAGAAGTGGGACTTGGACCGTGAGCTGGTGACGAGCTCACCGCCGTGCACCACGTTCAGCCCGCTGAGGAGACTCTCGGACTTCAAGCGGGACAAGAAGATGGTGGATGAGGAGAAGGAGATTGGCAGAGCACGACTCCGGAAAGTCATGGCAAGAACCTGAGGTGCAAGAGATGATCGAAAGGAAAGATACCTACCTGGTGCAGAGCCCAATGTGCAAGTTCGGCATGAAGATGGACAATGATGCCGGAGAACGGTGCTATGTCCGCAAAGAGACTTTGTGGCTGACGAACTCCAAGCACATCGCAGAGGAGCTTGAAGGAGTGTGCATCAACAAGCTCAAAGGGCGTGAAGTTCATCGGCATGTGCACCTCATTGGCCGGGATCGTGCCAAAGCAGCTCAAGTGTACCCAGTTCCGCTGGTGGAAGCGATCCTTCGAGGTTTGAAGAAGGAGCTGGTGAACAATCAGGCACTGAGCGCGGTGGAGGAGCTTCTCAATGGACCATCGCCCGACAATGGCAATGAGATGGACATGGAGCTAAAGCAGTGGGAGGAGGAGCAGTACATGGATGATGTGTCGGGTGCATTGCTCGACCCTGAGTTGGTCAAGAAAGCCCGGGAGCTAGAGTTGCAGTGGCTGAAGAAGGAAGAAGTCTACATCCGAGTTCCTCGGAGGGAGGCCACCGGAAAGCTCCTGCAGTGGAAGTGGATTGATGTCAACAAGGGCGACAATGAGAACCCGTTCGTGCGCAGCAGAATGGTGGCCAAGGAGATCAAGAAGGCCAAGCCGGTGGAGATGCAACTTGGTGGAGCAGACACTTTCTCCGCTACTCCACCGATTGAGGCTGTGTACACCCTGCTGAGCGCTTTCATGTCCAAGGACCCCAAGAAGGGCGAGCTCAAGCTCGCGAACTGGGACATCTCCCGTGCCCATTTTATGGGGCGTGCTGCACGTGACATATTCATGGAGTTGCCGGAGCAGGACATGGTGCCAACCGACCAAGAACCCATGGTCGCGAAGCTCATGCGGAGCATGTACGGGACCCAGGATGCGAGTAAAATCTTTCAGGAAGATTATCAAGAATGGCTGAAGCAGAACGGAGGAACATTCTGCCCGCTGTGTCCAGCCATCTTCAGGTTTGAGGAGCGTGGACTACTTGGACTGGTCCACGGCGACGATTTCCTGGTGGTGGGTGAAGATGCTCAGCTTCGCTGGTTGGATGACATTCTCAACAAGAAGTACACGGCGAAGTGGGAGAACCTCGTTGGGGATGGACCTGGCGACAAGAAGTCAATGACCTTCCTGAATCGCCTCATCAAGTACATCCCAGATGGAACGGACCAAGGAGGACGACGCCTTGAGATTGAGGCTGACGCACGGCACGCTGAAATCCTGTTGAGAGAGTTTGGCTTCAACAAGTCAACAAAGGGATGTGACGTGCCGGAGGACAAGATGACGCAGGCCGAGTTGGTGGAGGCAGATCGGCAGCCAGTCCTTGAGAGCAAGCAGGTGAGCCTCTACCGATCTATGGTGATGAGGATGGCCTACATGAGCAGCGACCGTCCAGACCTATGCCATGTGGTGAGGACCTTGGCATCAGCGATGAAGAGCCCCAAGATGGTGGATTGGCAGCGGCTCAAGAAGGCCGTAAGGTACTTGGTGAAGGTGCCGTACCCCAAGAGGGTCTTCCATGAGCAGCCCATCGAGAAGTTCAGTGGTGGCGCTCTCAGACTCTGATTGGGCAGGACCTCAGGAGCAGGAGATCGACCACCGGTGCAGTCATTAAAGCTGGAGATCACACCATTTTGGTGAAGGGAACGTCGCAGAAGATTGCGGCCCTCTCCAGCTGCGAAAGCGAGTTTTACGGAATGCGCCGTATGGCGACTCACGCCGAGCTCGTGAAGGGCATCATGGCTTTCTGGGGGTTCGAGACCCAGAAGGTGAAGTTGATGGTGGACAGCTCGGCAGCAAAAGCAATGGCCGAGCGGAAAGGAGTGGGAGTGAATCGGCACGTTCAAGCTCGCTACCTCTGGCTCCAAGACAAAGTCTTCAACAAGGAGCTGGAGGTGAACAAAGTGCCGGGCAAGATCAATGATGCAGATCTTGTCACGAAGGTTCAGCCCAAGTCGGTGATCTTGGCACACTTGGCACGGCCGGGCTTTGAAAACAGCGGAAGAGAAGGGCATAAGGGCTTAACTTGACAGCCTGGAACCCAAGCTCCGCTACCTGCTTTTGACCCCGCGAAGTTACCGCTTTCGATGAAACGATCAACGCGGTTCAGGGGGTGCAGACTTTGTACACCTTTCGTAACCTGAACATACCTGAGCCATCTGGGCACAAAACAGGAGCGCACATGCTGTAAGCCATGTTTGCATTTGGATCTATTTGGATGCCAGATGATGCCAGATCCTTGGACTTTCATGTGAACATTCTACGAAAGTTAGTTGTATATGCAACATGTGTTCCTATTTCCTGGTTAGTTGCAATGAATTATATGGGACATTATAGGGATGGGTCAAAACCTGTAGCCCCGGTCCACCATGGAGCGAAGGACCTAGGTCTTGACCCACTGCCATTCCATGCCACACCACTCCCACATCTCGCCACCGGCGCGATGAAAAGAAACGTCGGCTCGAAGGATGCGCGGATCGCACGGGGCTTTGGAAGCATAGGTTCTATCCCCGGGGGATTGACTATGTCAACAGGGGATGAAATGAACGAGTTGGTGTCAGGAGGTTGTGTTCAAGTCTGTTTTCCAGCTGCAGGGTCAGTTTATTAGCTATGTTGAAGCTTCCCAGCCCATTGAGGTGAAGGGGGCGACCGAAGACTGAACTGTCAAGGGAACAACATATTCCCTGGGTTCTGATCTTCTTGGGAAGCAGCAGAAAACACACTAACCACTAGCAATACACGGTATTTGCCATATTTGCGGTATTTTGCAGGAGAAAGACTGACCAAACATCCAATCATATCAGTGCTGAAGAAAAGGCACACCAAGAATTGGATCTATAATCTATTCACTCCATACTTATGTTGAAATCATGGTGCTCCTCATTCTATTTATGACATTATATGACTGGCTTTATACCTGTTCTTTATACCTGTTCTTTCAAGTTACACCACCTGAATTCGCGCTTCCTGGACCCCAACGCCCGCGATCGCTGCCCTGGTCACGCCAGGCATCGACCAATCCCAGGCAGCGGAGGCCTCACCCTTCGAGGACGACGACGACGAGGAGCGTTCTGGGGCGGGTGTGACAGACTTGAGAATCAAAGGGATTTGAGCTATGATTCCCTATGATATCCCTATGGTTCCCTTTGGACCAATATTTACTGATGGGATTTGAGATGACCAGCCGCCATTTCAGTCTATAGAAGATGTCAATGCAATCAAATCATTGATGTTATATCGACCTGTGATGGGGGCTGCCCGTGGTTCATGTGTTGGGGCTCAGGTCCATTGGTCCATTAGGATTTGTTCATCAACCTTCCCCACAAAAGTATAGGTGTTTCTTTGACAATCCTGTGCTTATGCGTCGGGGGTTATACCAATCAACAGGCCACAGACAGGACACATGTGTCCTTTCTCGATTGGTTCTGTTCAACTGTTGGCGGAGGAGTTGCGCGTCTCATGAGTTGCGCATGGCAATGATGGGGTGTTTTTGAGGTAGATTCTGTTTGGTACAAGAAGGAAGACAAACGACAAGACAAAGGCAACAAAGGTTCCAGTCTTGATGTGTTTCCAGGCAGCCACGGAAAGCTGGCTTCGAGGAAACACGTGCAAATCATATCAAATAATCATTTCAGAAAGCATCCAAGCTGAGAAACATGGGATGCATCCAGCAGGAAAACCTGGACAAGAAGTGCGAGCTGTTTGGGGATTGACGAATTTCAGTGTTGAACTATATATACATGTTTAGTTTTGTTAAGGATTTTGCCAGTTGGTCTTAAAAAATATATATATCTCCTCTGTGCCACTGTGCAGCCATGGCGGCCTTTGCTGTTCAATCTGGTGCCAATGGTGATGCAGAGGAAGGACTCCTCAACATTCAGGTGGGTTCGACCAATCTGGGCAATCGATCAAGAATGATAAAGAGCTCAAAACGAAATCCCTCGGGAATCCACATGCTTTTGGACCACGTGACTTCGGTTCGGGTTTCCGATGTTTTTGGTTGCTCACTCGAGCCGAACAGCTCCGACCGCGAACGACACCTGGGACCGGTGTGTCCTGTCTGGTCCAGTGAAAAGAGGCGCTTCCAGGTGACCCCAGTCAGGAAGGTGCTGGTAGATTGAGTGAGTTTCATGTTGGGCCCTTCCTCCTTTTCTTTCTTCGGACTGTGGACGGACTGACCCACGACTGGTCGCACGACTGGGCGCACGACTTGGCCAGTTGCGCAAGATCGAATCTGAGTATATGAGTGTGTGGGGGGTGAGATGGGTGACAGCAAGGAGTTGAAAGAGTTTGGTGTTTCTTTGAAAACTCTTTGAGCCATCAAATATATTAATATTAATCTACAAAGAATTGCAGGATCAAATTCTCCTGGGTCTTTTGACTCCCAAAACCAGGCCACTGACCATGCCACCGCAGTGCTGTTCGACTGTTCGATCGAACACGGTTTCTGGCGATCCAGCTTTCTCTTCGTGGGCACCGTAGCAGGTCTCGGGCATGGACGGCACAGATCTCCTGCTGACGGTGTCGGTTCAGCTGTTGGGATCTGAGTTGCTAGACCTCATCCATGAGCGGCTAGGAAGTCATCGAGGAGCAATCACCGTGCAGAGCCTTGACATATTTCATTTGAAGTGAATGAGTGCTTCCCTACAAGTCAGTGAACACCTCATTTCACTGGAGATGGTCATACGAAACCAATACTCGAGGAGGTAAATGACAAGCTTTTATTGGATCAGACTGGACTTTGTTGCGATGGTTTTGTGATGGGACAAATGTTCGCTTTTACTCTGTGTACCCTATAACGCTATGTTTTGGTACTGTTTGTTGTTTCAAACATAGATGTTGCTAGTGATGTTTTTTGCAAGCCTTGCTCCAAGCTTTGCTCCATGTCAGGACAGCAGAATGTGTAAATGAGTAGCGCTCGTGGGGATAGTCGGCCCATGGAGGGGCCCCCCATCCTTCACCCGAAACGATCCCATACTGGCCCAGGTGAACATGTTAGTTTCCACCGGTGCAGGCTGAGCAAAGGGGCAAGAGGGGACTCTTTTTTGGCACAAGTGGATCTGTTTGGGAAAATTCAAGGCAAGCGGGACCCATAGACGTGACAGCCCACCCGACCCTCTCAATATTGGGCACTTTGCGTATATCGTATCCAAGAATAGAGGACGCCCAGTAGGACGCCCATGTGTTGGTTGATTTGTGGAGCAACGAACCAACTACAAGTGGGCATCAAAACCATTGGTGGTGTTGATCTATAGTGACTGACAGACAGTCTAAGGAAAGGATCTATGATGCTATCCAGGACTCAGACTCTCCAAGAACAAGGGCTGATTGACTTGAGCTACCTGAGCTATGTGTATTTGCCCACTAACTTCAAAGATGCTTGGAGGCTTCTCAGAGACTTACCAGTTGACCATGATTGGGGACTTCTCAGAGACTTACCAGTTGACGATGAATTGACCGCTCTAGATGGCATAGGCAGAGTGGAAGGCATTCAGACATTGGATCAGCTCAGGGCGCTGCCTAGACTTCTTCGCAGTCTCAAATTTGGTGATCGCTTCGACTTCTGTCTGGAGCAAGTGGTTTTTCCCCGAGAGCTGGAAAGTCTCAGCTTTGGCCAGGACTTTGACCAAAGCCTTGCAAGAGTGACCTTCCCGAAAAGCCTTCGCAGTCTAACATTTGGCCAGAAATTTAACCAGACGTTGGTGGGGGTGGCCTTACCCAGCCTTCACAGTCTGATATTTGGCCGGAGGTTCAACCAAAGTTTGGCTGGAGTGGCTATGCCGAGTGGCCTTCGGAGCTTGACTTTTGGTTTTGATTTCAACCAGAGTTTAGCTGGCGTAGTTTTTCCCAATAGCCTCCAGACCTTGACATTTGGTGACTCATTCAACCAGAGCTTGGATGGAATCCATTTGCCTGGTAACCTCGAAAGTTTGGAGTTTGGCCTGAAATTCAATCAGAGACTAGGATCTTCTTTGCCGCAGAGCCTACAAAGACTAACCTTAGGCTTTTCGTTCAACAAAAGTTTGGAAGGAATCGCGCCACTGCCCCCAAGCCTGCGGAGCCTGCGCTTTGGCAGTCGATTCAACCAAAGCTTGGAACAAGTGACGTGGCCCAGTAGTCTGGAACATCTCACATTCGGACACCAATTCAACCAGAGCTTGGAGAGAGTTTTATGGCCTCAAAGACTACAGAGTTTGACATTTGGCTTTGAATTCAATCAGAGGTTGCAACACGTGAGCTGGCCGAGCAGTCTGCAGAATCTTTCATTTGGAGAAGGATTTAATCAGACCTTAGACGGGGTTGCATTTTCCATTGGCCTGCAACATCTTGCTTTTGGCTATGAGTTCAACCAGATTTTGGATCAAGTGAGTTTTCCCAGCCATCTTCAGTCGTTGGCTTTTGGTGAGGAGTTCAACCAAAGTGTCGAGGGAGTTGAATTTCCCGCGAGCCTCAAAAGTCTTAGCTTTGGCTCTGAGTTCAACCAGAGTTTGGAGCGAACAACTTTGCCACAAAACCTTGAACGCCTGAGCTTTGGCAACAAATTTAATCAGAGTCTCGACGGTTTGACTCTACCAAGCCTTCAAAGTCTACAGTTGGGGAGTGGCTTCACTCGCTGCTTGGAGTGGGTCTCGCTTCGATCATTGCATGATCTCACTCTCTACAGCGTTTGCAATCAGTGTTTGCAGCGATTGGCTTCTTTCGGCTTCCTCCAACACCTGACACTTTGCTGTGGCTTCACCAGGGGCGACGCGGAGGCGGAGAGCGCGGAGAGGCCGCAGCCCTTGACCTTCCCCAATGGCCTTCAAAGCTTGACCTTTGGCAGTCGCTTCAACCAAAGCTTGCAAGGGGTTGTGCTCCCAACCTCGCTCCGGAGTCTGACATTTGGCAATTCGTTCAATCAGAGTCTGGCGGGAGTGGAGTTGCCCAGCAGCCTGCAGTGTCTTCACCTTGGTGGCAAATTCAACCAGAGTTTCGAAGGGGTGTCTCTTCCTGCATCCCTTCAAACCTTAAGTGGTGGTGAGCTCTTATT